ACAACCGTTTACTTACATCAGATCACCCAGGTCTTTTATAGTAGAGTACATGAGCGAATGTCGATCGTGAAGTGTAATCTTCAATCGATACCATTCGATCAACTCGTGAATAAGCTTTACTTACGCTTGTTCGATGAAAGTTCACAGCATCACGAGGGCAAATGCGCCAAGAATTACCATGGAAATATCAATTTCTTCAAAACCGGTTTTCATTTAGCGTTACGAAATATCCAGGAAGTGAAAACAATGTCATCCAAAGTCAATCTTGTTTTCAAAGGTTTTAAATAACTTGAATCTAGAAGTAAATTTGCAGCTGAAGAAACCACTTTAATCAGAAGATTCCGCTAACGCACTGGTATGTTCGAATTGCTGCCAGCTCTAGACGTCCCCTTCAATCTTGGACCTCACGAGGGCCATTGACAAACTGTCATCGTTAACATTAAATGGATAAAATAGAACATGTGACTTCTGCCACTGCGCGTGATGCTGTACACCCAACAGTCTCTAGACTACCGTCCATGTGTGAGTGAAGTTGCAGGACTTTTTGGTAATACATTGATAATAGCATTAGATGGCTTTATAGCAACAAGTTCCTTTTTGCAAAGTTGTGCCTATGAAGTACTTGGAAAGTGCGTGCGTGCGTGCATTCCATGCACCAGTTAAATGACTTAACTATATCTGTTGATGGTAAACACACCGATTGACAAAGCAGCACAAAGTACGGAAATTTTTTGCAATCCCACTAAATCGATAGAGTGACATTTTTGGAATCAATTTTACTTTCGAAATGGTTCGTGCTGGTTCATCATGCTTGCAAAATCGTCAGTTTTTGGTGATGTTTTTGTGGAGGATCCAGTTTTCACCACCAGTAAACATTTTTTTTCTAAGAGGAACGATTTTTTTGCGCCTGGGATGCATTTCGCACACATTCTTTCTCCCTGTCAAGTTTTTTTGTCCAATTCATGTAGACCTTAATTATCGAGCTTCACCACAAATCCCAAATATTTTAAGTGACTCTAAACTGTAATCTGAGCAGCCGAACGTACAAAACGCATCTCCATTTGAATGCTCTGGGCTGATGAATGTCCCAAAGACCCTACAGAACCGTGAGTTCTGCTTTAACCTCTTCAAGTAAATTTGTCAAATCGATTTTCCAGAAAAAGGTGGGTTTGTTAGCGTGGTTTTTTGGTGTTAACGCGGGGCTTTGCTAGCTATGCGTAGGTGGGGTACATTGCTGTTTAAACAGCCTGTCAATTTCAAAAACAACCTTCGAATTTTATTATAACCTTATGATGGAATGCCATCATGAAGTAGATTTCTGTGTTGAGGCTGGAACCAGGACGCATTACTTGGTTTTCGGAACTGAATTTCATGTTAAAGCGTTTCGTTCCCGCTTAAACTGTAACTAGCAAAGAAGAAAAAAAATGATCTGTGGCCTTTTTTCATGTTCGAAGGCCCATTTTTGTGCATCTATTTCTGTCTTAAAGTTTCCTTGGCAGTTAACCGGTCATATTCATTAAAACTGGTTGCTGATTTTGGTTAACAAACTGTTCTGGACGCTGACGACTTGGGAACCACTTTGAGCCATTTCACCATTCTTCATTGAGCCAATTAATTAAATTTAGCCAAAATATTTTATTTTGGATATGCTTTAATCAGTCATCGCACTGATTCTAACACACAAGAGTACAAGAGTTCATCTATTTTAAGTAACGAACAGCGATTGAATCGATTACTTTGAATAGAATACGCTTGTTTTGAGCACCGAGTCGGTCTGGCTATAGGTAGTTAAAATTTGAGTGGAGAGAAACATCATTACACAGCTGCTTGGATGGGTTTCGAACTCTGTTCTTCGATGCACCTTGCTTCGTAGACTTTGAATATGAAAAATACTTATGTGAACATGAAAAATATGCCAGTCGCCAAAGTGACTCTTTTTGTGTCACTTCATTTGTGTTTTCACTCTCCAGCGCTAGTTCATTATCCAGATTCCTCAAACTACAAAGCTGACCTACAAAAAGTCACATAAAATATGGCATTCGCGCATGATTTTATTCCTTTATCACTAGTCAAGGTCAAGACTGGAGGGAAAGTTACCACAACCCGATTTCCTATTACAAATTGCATTTGTAATAGAAAAGTTTGATGAAACATTAATTACAAAGACTTCGTAGAGCAGCTAAAATTATTGAGTGTAAGGACATCATCCACAGGGATTGCATCAGACCGCTGATGCAAATTTGTCATCGGATGTCCAGATTCGTAAATTGGGTTCAGTAGCCAGCCAGCCTTAGTGGAATCCCACCGACCCGTTCGACACGAAAACTTCGCTGCCAAAAAGAAGGCTCCAAAGATGGTCTATTCAATACTTTAATGTGACACACGAATCAACAAAGTGGGTTTCAAACACCTCTTTCAACAAAAGTAGTGTTTCTTACATAAACGTCGCCTTCCGTGGTTCAAAGGTTTAGTGCATATGATGTTAAAAACCATTACAACTCTAGTAATTTCCATGGCATTATGAAAATTTCCGCGCTAAACTAAAAGCCAAATGCTAAAGACCTGTTACCGTTAGAATTCTTGGTCGTTTTGGGTTAACGTTAGGGCATGATTCTAACGAATTTCCAAATCTCCAGGCGTACAATCAGCAAGTTGATAATATCGTGGTTTCAGTTGGCTGTCGCTTGAGGAAAAAATATCGAACATTTGCCATGATTTCATTATCATACACAGGATCCTGGTCAAACTTATTCCTACTACGGAAAATCGTTTGTAGCCTTTGTGCATACAAAAGACCTGCCCCACTTTGTGGTAGATGGGCGTTTTCGCTTACAATATATTAATCAACACTAGGTCAAATTGAGCCTGCTCAGTTACTGTAGCCTTCACGCATGTGGCCCTTGTGTAGGCTGGCTTCAGATTCATTAAGTTTAACCTTGTAAACACCGCAATTACCAATGCAATGTTTTGTGCATAAGGAGACAGAATTTAAAAAAAACAGGCAATTAGCTAATTTGACGCCTACTGCAGGCTGACAGCACTCTGCAGTTGCATGCATTGACGCTTATTGTCGACTTACTGGGAAACCTTAGCATTAGGTTATTGAGCAAGTCTGAATTTCACTAATGCCAACGAACCCACAGCCTCAGACTTCTAAGACGGACTTTAGTGTGATTTATCCTCGCAGTCAGAGAGCCTGTACTTGGAGAATGTGCAGATTAATTATGAACCACGGTTCGTTTGCCCGGGCGATCACCGCAAGAGCAACGGGCCATTGACGAATTCTCGGCAGTTGCCACCCTGTTACTAGTAGAGCCTAGTTCTCGATGAAGGCTTGTTGATTTACCTGCATTGTGTTTTTCCGCTTGGTCAATACTGCAAGGAGAGCGTGCGTAGCCTCGCCCCTGAATATCGAGCAGTACATTTCTTAAGATTTCATTTAGACGCCCAGCAAAGATCTTTTTATCAACCTTCATGCGCGGTTGTTTTTACGTTTTCATGACAACACAATTCTTTCTAGCTCTTCTAGACAGTCAACCACCTTCTAAATGACGAAGGCGTCACACAGCAATACTTTGAACAGACTCTTGTACTCGCTTATGCTAATTACTGGATTTCAACAGAAGTAAAAACATGAACAAACGAACCTAGCCCTACAGATTTACTGGTGGTGCGACCGTGTTGCAACGTGTCGAGGCGGGTTTGAGTGTCATCGTCTTTTTTAACATGATCTTGAACTCGTCTGAGGGGTAGTTGTCATTGGCGGTCAAAATCAGGTAAAAAAACAATAAACTCAGAAAGTTGAGAAAAATTTGCTAATGCCAGTTTGCATTCGTGAAAAGGTTCGCAAGGACTATTAGAAGCTTAGATTAGACCACCGTTAAACTTTAGCAAATGCTAGTGGTAGGTTCTTGCCCGCATTCCAGAGTTCGTAACACGATACGCATTGGAGTCCATTGTTTGTGTTCGATAATTTCACGAAGAAATGGATATTCGAGGAATAAAATGGTTATCAATACAAATCAAGGTACACAATGGGTCAGTTTTGGTGTCGACTTAGTGGAATTTCAATCTCTTACGTACCGACGAAAATAGGCAAACTTACAATGAGTAGTACACAAACCCCGAATTTGTTGTCTGTTGTTCACTCATTAGATAGAACAAAACACCCGAAAAACTGACCAAAACAAGTTCACGGCAAGCTGAAAAACCATCGACTCGACTGCAAAAGGGGTTTCTTTTATGGAAGCGTCTCAGTTTGTCACTGCCAACTGTCATTGGCTTGGGCAAATTAATTAGTTGCATCAGTAAACAGATTTTGCAAGCGCCCCTCAGCCAAGGGGTCCAGAGCGAACTAAATGGGAGCCACACAACTACGAGTTCCTCAGTGACTCTAATCATGCATTACTAATTGAATCAACTGTAAACGAGTTTGGTGCACCTTCACTACAAAAGCCTGCATAATAACTTAATGTGAGACAGTTGCACTGCCCTAGAGCAAACATAACATAACAATGTCCAACTCAGAAACACCACGATGAAACCACTAAAATGTTATACTGTAGCAGATGCTATAGTTACGAAACTGGTTAGCTGATGGAGATAGAGTAAGATGACGTTATATATCCCACTACAATTTAATATAGTTGCGAAATCGAGCCAAAAACCAGCAGTACTTCCCCAGTTTTACTAGGAGGAAGGGTATAAGACAGATGCTGACAACGAGTTATCGTTAAAAGGACCCACGAGAAACCACAAGTCCGCTCGTTAATTTCAAGCCCAGAGTGAGCATCAAACTAAAACTATTAACCCTAAACCCAAAGAGCTTAAAGAGTAGGGTGCGTGCGCGTCGATTACCTCAGCTTCAAATTCGAGAAAAAAATATTAAGAAAGCGCTTTTATATACAGGTAGCAGCATTAGAGTGTGGGATCAGTACAAATAAAGAGGTACTTATCAGGGGGCTATGAATCACAATGCGCATGGAAGCTACAAGTGAAGTTTAGTTTACAGAACTTAATTTTGATTGTATTGGTGAAGCAAGCGGACTTTGTCTGGGAATAGTGTTTGCCGACGCCGCAAACTGCACAACCCGAGACATGAGATTGCAGAAAGAGGTCGGCGAGAGGAACGGGCCGGTCGAATCCATTGGAACAGGGGGGGACACAGATGGTGGGAGTTTTTTTACTCCGACAGCGGCCGCTGTCGCGCTGCTTGACTGGTATTGAAAATGTGTTTTAAGGTGAGAAAGCACATTGCTCATCACAGGGTAGCGGTTGCGCGCTACAGAGAAGCGCACTGCACACGTTCGTTCTCGTTTCTCACGGCAAAGGTGGCAGTAGAATATGCCGGTTACTCGTTTCTGACCTCCTTCTCCACCTCCAGACACTTCCATTTTCATGTCGAAATGCTGTCCCCGTACGAGGTTTGCGTTGACAAATTGCCTAGCAGCTAGACGGCAGGCACTAGCAGAGGAATGATGAATGAGCCGCTCGACATCGATGTTCTCGTTTAACGTGGCGGAGGTCTTCGAATGTGTCTGCTGGGACTGGGGCTGTGTGTGCATGGAAAAATGCCCCCCTAGACCATCCAACACTCGTTTACATTCCAAGTTACCTTTTTCAATGACCGACATCGATGGTGGATCGCTGTAGGGTAGGTTATCAACAGAGATATGTGCTGGTGGCGGTAAAGACGAGGCATCAGGAGCGTTGGCAAAAGGTGGATCTGGCGGACTTCCTTCAGAAGAAGTAATTGAAGCTGCTCCGAAGCCACCTCCACCACTACCTCCTAATGTGGGGAATGATATCTCCGTTTGTACAGTGGCATCGGAAACTGTAGTAAGTGGCGAATTAAATGACATTGAGATGTTTTTCTGCTTGAGCTCTTGGATGGCCAGGCGAAGGCCACAGACAACCCCAGCAGGAAGTTTGAAGCTTGTTGGGTGACGCGAGTAAACTGGACCAAGGAAGTACTGTCGTATTTTTGTCGAGTTTATGAGAGCGCAAGTTGTCCCGACAAAGGCCTCCAACTGTCTAATGTTAGCCTCACTAGTTAAACAGGTGAAAACCGCGGCTGAATCAAAACCAGCCAGTTCAAGACAGTGAATAACATAATCGACGCGAACGTACTTTCTAATAAGATCACGTAAACCAGGTTCCATTGGACTCGGCGAAGCCGACAAACACTGGGCATCGATTCCTTCCTCTTCCTCACCAACACAAAATTCATCGTTCTCTTCTACGTCGGAACAAGGTGTCTCAACGCTAATTGGCTCTCCAAGGGATGAACACGGTTTGCTGTCTGTTTGTTGCCCTAATTCGTCTTTAGCTGACTGTTCCACACAACTAGAAATATTTTCGGTCCGCCCGCTTGCGAGAACATCGAAGGCAGGACGAAAGGCGCAGTGCTTTCGCATATCCACGACCGCACTTTCACCGTCCATGTATGGCACGGAGTACATTGCACCAGAAGAGTAACCGTGACGAAGGTTGGGGTTATCGGAAAACTGTTTCCCTATGAAAGTGTCTGGATGAATGGTTTGGTCCTCGAAGCACCACTGTGATCATTTATTAAAACGGAAGCTCACGATTAGGGTGCCCAGAAGTAACTTAAAGAGACTTGTAGATTAGCCTAGAAGAGTAATATAAATTAGTGCGTTATGTTAGGAGAATGAAAAACTGTGTTAAATCCAAGAGAAAAGGGCGATTATTCATACGAAACGAAATGATTTCAAGGGCAGCATTAGTGCGAAAAAAATTGCCCTAAAAGTAACTAATTACATAATTTAACCAGTTTATTTGAACGTGGAAGTTGCAGAAACGAATTTACCCTATTAAAAGACATGCAAAAAGAATACGCTTAAGTTTCATGAAGTGTAGTTTTCCATTTCACAACATGAAGCTCAAAAATTGTCAGTTTCCCAAGAAACCCCTTAATTTCCCCAGATGTATGTTGAAACGGCCGTGCTAAATATACTGTTTATTGATAACTGTGTGTACTTAATGCAAAACCATGAGTTACCAGCAAGTGAGATCACGTTGGACAAATCACCAGCGCAAACTAGAAAACAGCACACAATACCAGAGAAAACGGACACTGCCCCTTTTGGCATTGGTTATCGCAGAGATCACTAGTTATAATGGTGAGTTAATAATTGGGTAGGACGTCAAAGTGTGTGAAAGTTGCAAGCACGCGGGATGATAAATATAGTCCGTAAAATTAGTTATTAAGTAGTCACAGACACGTTATTCCGCAGAAATAGGACCTACTGTAGAATACAAAAAAGCGACAAGACTTTCGTAGATAAGCAGGGAAAAGAGGTTTTTGGGGAATATTAACCAAGTATAAGAGTTTTACCGAAAACCGATGTGTGAAAACGCCTAATGACACTGTTCAATATCAGATGGTTAAAATAAACGATTACCTGGGACTTCTAGACAAAACAAAACTGAGGCAAAACTTCACGGAAGCGATCTGTTATTATCAGCAAATAAAAACGAATAGGCATCAAACATTAAAAGGATTGGCCCTAAGCAGCCTTGACATACAATTGCTATTGGACAAAATTAAGAAACACAGCATTGGCCGTAAATTTGCTGTTTCGTTTGTTTCAACGCATCAAAACGAGGAGCGGATTAAAGTCCGATTTTTCGTAACATTTTAGCGCAGAACAGTGTATGAGAACTTAAAGCTTTTCTTATACAAAGCCAACAAGTTTAGTCTATTGTTGTCAGTACCTCCACCTGAAGGTATGTAAATATCATCCGTTAAATAAATTATGTTGATAATGAGATTTAAATAATAGTTTTTTGCTCAATATGACTGCCGTTGGACTTGTATCAGAGCCCAATAATGGCTAAAAATACCATGTAAAGCAGCATCACTTTTAATTACATGAGAGGTTTTGGAAGTTCATACATCAGAAATTGCAGCTGAGTAAAAAAATTGCTTTATATTATAAATGTTATTAAAAGTACTCAATATGCAAACTCACAACGGGGGAGGATTGGCTGATCTCGATATTTTTCCAATATGTGTGGTGGTGGGAACATATCTCAATGTCCCTCATAGTAGTAATTTAGGCAAATTAGCAACAAATTGAATATGTCTAAAAACATCTTTGACAGGTGGTTCATTTGAAAAGTTCAGACAATATTAAGTAAATTAAAAATTTAGCGTAATTATGTATGTAAAGTGGATGAGGAGGCAAATTTATCAGTACTGTGAATTAAAAAGTTTAATATGTTAGTTTTTGATACATTTGCCTTCAATCTTTGCCTTGTTAGAATATGTATATTTTTCGATATCCTATGATTTCATTCAAAATAGAAGCAAATATTCGTTAAGTAGACTTTTATGTGATTAGTCGCAATTTTGTTCGAATTCCATTAATTATCATGGTGAGCATTATGGTAGCAGCATTGGGTTCTAAGGTTAAACTATTGATAGCACGGTTTTTTATGATAAAATTTTTTGCTTCATTGATAGAATGGAAACGTAGTAAGTCGCTAAATATTTTTTTTTACAAGGCAATTGATGCCCATGTACACCAAATTTTGAAGGTGTCTATTATTGAAGCCATTAAATAAATAACTGGGTTGGTGTTAATTTCTTGGAGGACCCATAGGCACTCCTCAAGATGACTAATTCTCAATTTATATCAACAGAGCACCATTATAAGATTATTTGTTCCGAAATAGGTGCGTAGCGGCGACTTGGACTTTAAAGAAACAAGACTAGCAATAATTAAACACTTAAGATACCAGTTTCCTTGAGCTTTTATTTTGAATTCTGGTAGCTGTAAAACGCTGTGTATACTTTAAGTAAACAAAAAGAAGCTTTTATTCTAAAAAGGAGTGCAGCTGAGTAGTAAAAAGATTTTTTGCAGGTTTTCAAGAACAATTTTCAAAATTAACTGTTTAAAGAAATTCATCAATTTTGTTATTTGAACCAATCACAAGGAAAGCAAATTTTTGTTTGCGTGCACTCAATCTTAGTTTAATGTTGAAGTTTTTTGGCGTCGGTGTATTTGCCATAGCCAGTAAGTCTGTTTCTTTTGCAAGTTGTTAATTGTTTGATTTCTGGTGGCTGAAATAAAAATTTGAGCTAATTATGAAAATTAATGAGCATAGTCATTGATTTACAAGGTCTATGGCCATGTACCGTTTTTGACTTATTGTTCTAGTAGTGGTCGTAACGTGTGTGTACAGAAAAGTCTCCACACCATTTACTTATATAAGGGTTTTTGCAACTGAGTGTAAATGAAGGTGTTTAACATATCCATCTGAGTCTGTAAACGTGCCCAGGATTACAATTATGCTCACGTCTATTTGACGTCGCTTCTAGCTCAGGCTCAGTAACTGGGGTTCCCTATACGCCTATCATTAAATGCAACAGGAGGAAACTCGGATTGATTTGTTCTAATCTACTAATACGCTAACCTACTTAGCCATCTGCAGCAACACATACCTGAGTGTAGATTGCGTTAAATAGTCATTTGTTTCTAGAAAAACCAGAATTTTCAGTGAAGAAATTATCAGAGCTGTCCAAGATCACGTTTTTCTCTGAGTTTAGTTTTGGATTTACTAATAATTTGCGCCAAAAGTGAAATTACTTGTAAACCTACTTATCTCAGACTATGTATGTTACATTTCCCCATTTCAAGACGCCCCTTTGAAAATCGAACTGCTAAATTGATGTCAGGCCTTTTTGGATCACTACTGTAGCATTTAATGAAAAATACTTTTATCGGGACGCTTCTTGTTTCATATTGATTTTTTAATGCATACTTCAGCAACCAGCTCTTGATTAACCCTGAATCCTTGTACCCAAGTATCTTCACTAATGACTTTTTGTACATTGAATGTTGTTTTATTCACCATATTCGCTCTGCACTCTTTGAAATGAGGTTTTGGTCTACGCTGTAATCATTCCTTAAAATCGCGTTTCATTTAACTCCTTTGTGGTGTGTAATTGGAATTTCAACTTTCATGTTTCACCATCATTATTCGTTTGTTCGAAATGGTGTTTCCCATGAACCTTATAACCTTGTATTATGGTTTTTAGAATTAAAAAAACCAACGTTGGACTTAATTCTTCTTGTATTTCCTTCCTTGGTTAACGCCAAGTAACACTAATCAGGACCGCCTCACCGTCCAGTCATATATGTGCTATGTAGTTGCTGCCTTCGAAAGTAGCCTAGTGGTAGATTTTCCCAATTTGACCTAATCGCCTATAAAACTGATTTCTTTAAAACTGTCAGGAGCAGAGAGTGCCAACTTGTAATACTGTGCTACGATTTTGTTTGCTTTGAAATCACAACCCACTGCACTGTCTCCCATTTGTAGAGCATTATCTACTTTTGTGCTTGATCATTTTCTGCCTGTTGCGTTGTAGTAAAGTTCTGTGTGAGTACCTTAAAAACTTTTAACACGCCAGGCTCCTTTTGTGTAATTGAACACTTACACTTACGTTACACTTTTGAATTTAAGTACCGTTTAACTTCTTATAATTGGTTATGTGTTACCTGAACTATTGTAGCCATCTAACGAATCTTCTGCTACCAAATATTGCTTCCTAGAATGAATCCCAAGGGAACAGTAGAACAGTCTGTAAATGAAACTTCCACAACGGGACAAGAAACTTCGGCCCCAAACACCGCATTGTTAGCGTCAGCGCAGTCCAGTCACACCACTGCCACCGACACTCTAAAAGCCGACGCGTCACCCTCAACCCAGAATGACCCCGTCTCTCCTAATGGGCAACTTATTGATCAGACAACCCGTTGCGAGGAGACTGGTGAAACGTCGTTTTGCGAAGACCAGTTGTCGCATACCCAGCAGCTAAGAAACGACGCGCTTCCCATCGGCAACAAATCCGAAGACAAAAAAGGGAAGAAGCTCGAGTTGGAAAATAACGTTACACATACGCTGTCAGAGGAGCTAAATGTAATTGGTGAAGGCAAGCCTCGCGGTGTTAAAGAAATTGCGGACCTCGGCGAAGGGGATGCTTCCTCCCCATCCGCAGAATCTACCTCTGCTTCTCAGGCGAAAAATAAGAACTCAAAAAACCGCAGCACCAAGGAACTTCAATCTTCTGTTTCTACCTCCCGAAAGATTGGTGATGAACCTCCTCCCCAGCCTTGCACTGAGACATGTCAAGTGGAAGAACAAGAAAAGTCTAGGCTTGATGGGACAACCGAGTCCACATTTTCAGGCGAAGAAGATGACGATGAGGGCGAGATTGATTGTAAGTCTGATGGCGCGAGTTCCAGCATATCTCATGATCACTCGTCGGAAGACGAATCGCATGCTCCTCGTCTGCGACGACGTTGTAGTGTCTCAGATAATGATAACGATGAGGAAGAAGAGGAAGACTATGATGATGATTACTACTTTGACGAGAAGCCTACTCATTCTCATGGTGATGATGAAATTATTGATTCCACGAAGGACTGTAAGTCCCGTGGACCCCCTATCACCTCAGAACTTCATGAAGTTGATGAGGGTGATCAAAAAGATGGTTGTCAAGTAATTGATGGCAAAAACACAGAAGCTAACGAAAAAGGCGTGGAAAAATCTCGATTAGTAACACCTGCTGGAAATGATAACAAAAAGGACCCTTCGTATGTGCCGCGTGTCGGAGCTTTTTATCTTCACGACCTTCGTGATGAGGTTGACGAAGCGGAAACGAGTTCGAAAGCCCAATCGTCTGTCAATTACTGTCGTCGTCCAGGTATGTTGGCCGCTCGCTGGGGTCATGATTTGTACGTCGAAAAACACCAGAATCCCCGTACCACTGAAGATATTGTCCGGCGTTACGGGTACGACATCCGTAAGCATGGCCTTGAGAACCCACCTGTCGAATCAGCAATTGAAAATCAGCCGGTGGACGAGGGTGAACCACC